TGCTGAACCAAAATTCAAAAGCAGTGTCTGATTTTCATTGGTCATTTGGAGGTGAGAAAAAGGAAGAGAGTGAAGACAGAGCAGAACAAGTGGTGGAAATTTAAAAAAGAGACATGTTGTGAAGACTTCAGGAAGGAAGTAGGGGCAGTTCTGGGCTGTGTTGAAGAATTCCCAGATGTTAGGGAGGCTACAGCTGCAGTGATTAGGGTGACAGGTAGGAAGGTGCTAGGTATGTCCTCTGGGCAGAGAAAGGAGGACAAAGATACCTGGTGGTGGAATGATGAGATCCAGGAGAGTGTGCAGAGAAAGAGATTAGCGAAGAAGAGATGGGACAGTGACAGAACAGAAGAGAACAGACTGGAGTACAAAGAGAGGACAAGGGAGGTGAAGAGGGAAGTGGCCAAGGCCAAACAAAAGGCATATGAGGAGTTGTATGAGAGTTTGGAAACAAAGGAAGGAGAAAAGGAGTTGTATAGATTGGCGAGACAGAGAAATCAAGCTGGGAAGGATGTGCAGCAGGTGAGGTTGATTAAGGACAGAGAGGGGAATGTGATCACAAGTGAGGAAAGTGTGCTGAGAAGATGGAAGGAATACTTTGAGGAGTTGTTGAATAAGGAAAATGAAAGGGAAAGTAGAAACGAGGAACCACAAACTATTAGGAAGAAGGTAGGTCAGATTAGAAAGGACGAAGTAAGAAAAGCCCTGAAGAGGATGAAGAGTGGAAAGTCAGTTACCTGACATACCAGTGGAAGTATGGAAGTGCTTAGGAGAAGTGGCGGTAGATTTCCTGACTAGGTTGTTTAACAGAATTTTAGAGACAGACAAGATGCCTGAGGAGTGGAAGAAAAATGTTCTGGTGCCAATTGATAAAAAGGGTGATGTACAGAGATGTAACAACGACAGAGGAATAAAGTTGATGAACCATACAATGAAGATTTGGGAAAGAATAGTTGCCAGGAAGCCAGGATGAGGCAGGAAGTGGAGATTTGTGAACAACAGTATGGTTTCATGCCTAGGAAGAGTACCACAGATGCAATATTTGCCTTGAGGATGTTGATGGAGAAGTACAGGGAAGGTCAGAAGGAGCTGCATTGTGTATTTGTAGATCTAGAAAAGGCATATGACAAAGTGCCAAGGGAGGAATTGTGGTTTTGTATGAGGAAGTCAGGAGTGGCAGAGAAGTATGTTAGTTTGGTGCAGGACATGTATGAGAATAGTACAACAGTAGTGAGGTGTGCTGTTGGGAGGACAGAAGACTTCAAGGTGGAGGTGGGACTACATCAAGGATTGGCCCTGAGCCCCTTCTTGTTTGCTTTGTTGATGGACAAATTGACAGATGAGGTCAGACAGGAGTCCCCATGGACTTTGTTGTTTGCAGATGACATTGTGATCTGTAGTTAGAGTTGGCAGCAGCTAGAAGAGAACCTAGAGAGGGAGAGGTTTGCACTAGAAAGAAGAGGAATGAAAGTCAGTCGTAGCAAGACAGAGTAAGGCCAAAAGGAAGGCCAAAGAGGAGATATATGGATGCAGCGAGGGAGGACATGCAGTTACTGCAATTGTGTTTCAATAAAAGTTTTTCAGAGCACTGAGGTGCCTGACTGGTCTGTTGCATTAAACTATTTTTAGTGCACATCATTTTGTGAACCCCAGACATTGCGTTATTGGGTTTTAATATGAGAGAAGATGAAAAATTCTTATTACAGATATTACATAATTATGCTAATCGGCCAATATTCTAGAACATCCTAATGATTACTTTTGGTAATTCCAAGGTATTTCAGTTACCATTTTTGGTTTTCTCAGAGGGGTACTAACTATTTAAACCCTGTGTGTATATATATATGAAAATTAGTCGATACCTTTATATATAGATCTATATTTTTATATAATGCCGACACATTAGGGCTGTCAAAATTAACATGTTAACCATAATAATTAATAATTTCAGAAATCAGATTAAAACTTTTAACACCTTTTAACATGTGAATGACAGGTTTCCTATATAATATAATATTAAAGCAAGTATCTTTGCTTTAATAGACAATTTTCATGCTAGGATTCAACTTCAGACAAGACAACAAACATGTTTTAGTACAGCCTCACGAAGGTAATAAGTAAGTCAACTGCCAAAATGTGTTGCGGATGGTGGACCAAATAATAATAAATAAAATAATATTGTTGAGGACAACGGCTTCACTGTTTTAAGTATAACTATATGCATTCTAGAGGCCAGTGTAAGATGCACAAGAATAAGTTGTAGCTTTAGCATATTTTTCCTGACATTTTTGCATTTTAATTAGTCAGCAATATACTGAATTTAGTATATTTAGAAATGTTGATTTATCTCGATTAATTAAAAAAAAGTATCCTATTTGTCCCAGTAGTGGGGTAATTTACAGTATTTGCAACTGACACAGGCTGCCACCGGAGGCACCAATAAGGAATAATCATTATTTAGCCACAGCTGGAGCCTAATGAATCAGATAAACAATGTGTTGTTTGACAGCCAAAACGTTTGCAATATATCAAAATGAACAGTACTTTGCACATTTCTAACAACACTTACCCAGAACAATGAGTTCGGTGTAGTCTTCACCATTTCCTGAAAGATCTTCGGGGGACACTACAGAGCAGACATAGACACCACTGTCCCCCCATGCTGTTTGTGCAATATGTAGATCTGCATCTGTAAGAAATATAACATGTACAGGTTTATCTTACACATATTTCCTACAATGTCTGTGGTGAAGAAGGGTTAGTAATTTGTCCAGCAAATGGCCTATGTTATTCCCGTCTGTCTTGCTGACAGACCAAACAAAATGCTTTAATCACAACAGGACATGAGGCATTAGCCATGTTGCAACAAGCTAGCTTCGCATGTAGCACTTTGGTGTGAATGCATGAGGGCAGCTTGAAGTGGTCGAGCCCAAATCTACTGAGCTGTCAGCATACTGGTGCGTACTGAACCAAGACCACTGGGTTTAACGGTTCAATACAGATGTATTGTTACACACCTATTATATACTACTATCTAGGTCTGCAGAAAATGACATGTACCTACAGTCCGAGACAACCATCGAACAGGTGGGAGGACAGTGTCAGAGACATGCTGCTGCAACCATCCGCATTTGCCGCAAATCGAGCTGGCAACATTTCAAAGCTGAGTAAATAACTTTTCTTTGGATATTTTGTCCAACTATTATAGTGGTGCACTTCAGTGACTTGGCATGAATGTGTTAGATATATATATATATATATAAATATATATATATATATATATAAAATCTAACACGTCATGCCGTTCAGGAAATTAATCTTTGAATATATATATACAGAAAGTCTGAATATATATACAAAAAGTCTGAATATATATAAAAAAAATCCTGAATATATATACAAAATTCCTGAATATATATACAAAAAATTGAAACCCTTTGACCACATATACTGTATTATTTCTATGCGAGACAAGCAGCTTTGATGTAATCGTCTTTATTTATTCACTCTCCGCTGCTTCCCCTTTTCTGTCTCTGTTTTTTTTTTTACGGACCATGCTTGACTCACAACGCAGAAGAAAGAATAAACAATCCGGTACAGAACAACACATTTTCCGCGAGTCAACAAGGAACCTGTGAACAAATCAATATTTTAAAGACAACACAGTACACTACGTCATATGACAGCTATCAAACAAAATATCTTTAAATAAAAGTTAATATAAATCACTCTTTGCATTACTGTTGCGTGTGAGCTCTTAACAAAAAAACTAAAAATGTATTTACCAAAATTTTAAATCAACCTTGTAGGCTGATATTACTAAGTGTTACGATTAGGTGAGAAAAAAATGTGACTTTTCCAAAATTTTTGGGGTGAACTTTTGGGGTGAAATGTTTCCAAAACTTTTCAAGGCCTGGAGAACCAAAATGTACAAACCCTGTATTTAATAATGAGTAATGCTATAATAATGGTTGCCCAGCCTTAGTTGTCTTCTTTCCTTTCACCACACAAATTGCTGAAGGGAAAGCTCATAGTGAGCAACAAGTTAATTAATTCACACACCACTCCAACAATAACCCAAGATGAATTTCAAAGTGCACATAAACAAGTAACAACTCAACTCACTGTTTATGATGCTCATCTTGCGTCCTACGTACTCCTTCCCAAAAGAAACAGCACCGCCTTGTTTTGAGGCAACAGATCGCACAGACCTTTGAGAGTCAGAGCACTCAATGTTGGGGTCATAGCTTGGGTTGCTCTGGGCAATGCTCTCTGTGCTGCCAGGATTCATTGCAGCCTTAATTGGGTCCTGGCAATAAGATTTGTATTTCCATGTAACAATGGGTGGCTTAGTTGAGGATGTGTCGTAGTTACAGGTGAGTTTGACTGGTTGGAAGAGAATTACAATGTGTCTCTTGGGGGTACATTGCACCTGGATGGGCATGGTGAAATCTAGAAAGAAAAGAAAATCCTCCATGAGATTTGTATAAAACAATATACACATATACACTATATACATACATATATATGTACACTATAAGCATTTTCATATAGATAATTATACATATAAATATATAAACAGAGAAAGAGCAGAGAAGTATAAAGCCTCTAAAACACTTCATTTATTGCTTTAAATTAATAATGCTTTAAACCTTTAGACAAAACATGAGGCTTGTTCACAGATTCACTCATTTTTTTTATTCACTCACATTTATATGAGAACATAATGCAGAAGTGGGCTTATTTTTTGGCCCAAACAGTTGAGTTAGCTGGTAACATCACCTTCTACCATACCTAATCTGTATCCGTATATTTAGTTTGCTTAGCTGGTAACATCACCTTCTACCATAGCTAATCTGTATCCGTATATTCTAGATTGAACACAAGAGTATAAATCCAATTATTTTTAGACACCAAATTTGTTTACAATTTAAAGCGTTAAGCGGTATTTTGGGTGGTCCCATCCCCCACGCATATTGTTTATGACGCTTGACGATTGTTGGTGAGTGATTTGTGGTTTTTTAAGTTACTAAGAGGTTCTGCGTATACAGTTTGGAAGACTGTTCAGAAAGCAATCCCCTTCATCTTGAAGTAGCGCCAACCTGTCAGATGAACACGTTATGTTTTAACTTTTTTGTGAACAGTCCACTTCCTGTTAGAACAAAACAGACTTACTGTATCTATACTTGTCAATACACATATACAGCGTTTTAGAAGCAGACACTATAATATAATACAAAACAACGTTGTTGTTTTTTTTTAACCAAACATTATTTATGGGCCTTTTAGTTACACGAAGGGTCTAAACTATATACCTTATGCTCACTCACCAGCCTAATCATAAAAGGCGCCCCTCCCTAAATTGACTGAACTTACCTGTTGCTGCTAAAACGACGATGATTAACGTCCAAAACGTTTTATATTCCTTATCACCCAACATGACTGCACCCATTCAACATTCAACTATCAACACACAGAGAATCCCCCGTAAGTACGTAAAAAATGACCGCCAGCTAGGTCGTTTTGTTTTTTGTTTTCAACTCAGGTAACCCCACCTCTATTCAATATGGCGATCCCGAGTTGTCGGACAAGAAAGTGCCAAAGATGTGCTCGAAGGTAAGTTCAAAAGTTGCGAATCTGAGTTGATGTAACTGTTTTTATTTCGAAACCACACGATATAGAACCTGGTCATGATAGCCCTAGTATTAATATTGAACACTTAATAATTGTTTAATTTACATTACTATTATGTCTCTATACGAAGAAAATGACAGTTAAGCTTCTTTTTTTTTCAGCAATCACTTGGTACGACCCAAACCTGCTGGGTTTTTATGGACTGTCTGCGTTTGGTGGCGAGTTCACGGTTGCGCAGTAGTAACTCTTACGTCATGCCTCTGGGATATGGAAACGAACTGAAAGGGCTACGAAACACGCTATTACACCTACCCATAGCATCTCGAGTACTATATTTACGGTCTTCACTGAGACTGTAGAGTTTGATTAAACATTATTTTGCAACCTGATGAGTTTGATTAAACATTATTTTGCAACCTTTGTTTGTGTTTGCAAATATTAGCGAGGAAAAAACTATGTGTTATAGACAGAAATAGTTTCAAGAATTGATATATTGATATATAATGATGTTTCATCAACATCAATGCAATTTTATTTTGAATTAAATTTAATCATACTAGCTAATTATACTGTAAGATGGCAAAAAAAAGTGCTGTAAACTCTGTTGTGGACGTTAATTTTCACACAACTATATCAAGATCAGGTTGAGGAATAGTTAATAAATGAACAGAGAGTTAATAGAGTATTGAGCCACCTTCTCTGTTAAGTGAGGGTTTCATTAAATTGACTGTATTGATTGATGATGGCTACAGGAGTTAGGAAACAACAACTCTTTAAACTAAATTTCTGCAAATCATGAATAGTTTCTATAGATATAGTTATTAATTTATTCAGGCACCACTGAAGGCCTAGGTGACAAATGCACCGTACACCGCTGATTAGTGGTGGGCCGTCAGGGCCAGCAAGGTCTTTTCTGCTGGCCTAACATAAATCATGATCATAAGTTGATAAAAGTTCATTTAATTTTTTATTTACTTTTCCTAAATACATAAAGAATACTTCATATTCTTCATATTATCTTCTGAAGGCCTCTGGCAGATTTCGTACAGCCTGGCAACAGCTAGCTGAATTCTGATTGTATAAAAACTTAAACCTAAAATCAACAACACTGGAAGGAGCCTAACGTGAGGCTTGCTTTTTTATTCCACAATGTCCGAAGGAGGGCAAAAACGTGGATTTGGGAACTTAAATTTCTTGACTAAGGCAGCAATGAGACACTAAAGCACGGCTGGACACTTGCAAGCTACAGTGCTTCTAAAAACTTTTGGGGACACCCGAGTGCACAGCTCAACAAACAGGTGCGAAAGGGATTTATTGTTGGAACTGAAGCGCACAGATAAACTGTACAACCAAGTCATTGAGGTCTTCTTGAGGAAAGAAAGGAGAATGGATTTTGTGTTGAAATAAGTGTTTAGGAGGACAGCTGTTTTGGTGAGTACAAACATTTTATTTATTTACTTAAATTATATTATGAGCACGTCCCGCCACTGCTGCTGAGTAGAAATAATTGTCCAAACTATGAGTGTATTTCAACATACTGTGCATTATGGGATATTATTTGAACATATTAAATCCATATGTAATTCAAATCAAACATTAATACTTAGCCAAATATAAATGTTAATCGCACACACTTACTTACCACCTTTAATCTAGGATAATATATGTGTGAGCCAATCAGAGGTAGAGATGGCATTAGCCAGAGGTGTGGACTCGAGTCGCATGACTTGGACTCGAGTCAGACTCGAGTCATCAATTTGATGACTTTAGACTCGACTTGACAAAATGTAAAGAGACTTGCAACTCCACTTGGACTTTAACATCAATGACTCGTGACTTCACTTGGACTTGGGCCCTTTGACTAGACAAGACTTGATAATGCCTCCAAAACCCAAGTACTATATTACTGTTTTATTTAAAAGGACTCAAACGGACTCGAAACAGAAACGGCAGGACTTGGGACTTGACTTGGCGCTTTTCAGTCTTGACTTGGACTCGACTCGGACTTTGCCTGTCTTGACTTGAGACTTGACTCGGACTTGAGGGCAAAGACTTGAGACTTACTTGTGACTTGCAAAGCAATGACTTGGTCCCACCTTTGGCATTAGCACACACATGAGACTTACTTGTGACTTGCAAAGCAATGAAACAACCACACACAATCAAAAAACAAAAGAAAACACATGACTTTTTGACTTACGTACTTTGAAACTCTTGGAAACAGGTGAGCCATTTAAATGGAAAGGAAAGTGAACTATTTGTCATTGTGACACGGCACACCATTGCACACAACGAAATGTGACCTCTGCTTTTAACCCATCACCAAAGTGAACAGTGGGCAGCTTTAAGCACCCAGGGAGCAGTGTGTGGGGATGGAGTGATCATAGTTCACAAATGTGCGGTGCAGTGCACATTTTGTGTTTGGTGCTCCCGGTCCAGCATGCGCACTTGCAAACCAGCTTTAATACCAGACATGTTTGATGCACCGTCAAAGAATTGTTTGCAATGGCAGTAAGAATCTCATTCAGCAGCTGAAACATTGCATTTGCTGAGGTTGCTGATTTTCTCATGAAATCCAACAAAATCTGGATCCAGATTTTCAGCTACAACACAAAAACAAATTGACACCTGCTCTCTGACCGAAACTTCAGCGGTTTCATCTATTATCACAGAATCAGAATGATTTCTTCAATCAATGTTATTAGTACGTCAGCCATAATTTATTTAATCTCTTTTAAAATATCATGTGAGTGCCACTTGTTCTCTTTACGTGCAAGCCACGACCGTAACCCCCGTGATATCATTTGCACGTAAATGCAGTAACTGAGTCAAGTTGATTCTTCATCCGTGCGTCCTCGGATGTCCAAACCCCGATATGAAAGATATTGGACTGAGGATAGAATAGCCAACAAGGCTGTTGGCTTTCATCTGACATCTGCTTGTGTTTACTGGTGGAAATTGATGCGGCGACATTTACGCCTGCATTAGTAGCAGCAACAGTGCTAACTGCAAATATATGCAGATTTGACTTTTCAGTCAGAGTTGGAAATCTCTCCAGTGCTTTGGCCCAGCTGGAATAACCATCCTGTGCGAAAGCTAGCAAAGTCTCTATGTCATGTGTTGTGAATGGTAGAGGAGCCTCCATGTTTTTGGCTGCAGTGCAAACCTCACAAAATACATTGTTCTTTGCAGCATCATAGGCTATCCGTGGGTATTTGTCTTTCCAGCTAGCTTGAAGCCTGACCTTTTTTTCTGCCTCTCTTCCGTATCACCACTACAGATGTCTTTAGTCGTTGACAACGGTACTAGAGGTGGGTACGGTGGATGTTTTTGGTAGGCCTATAAATTTGTCCATTTTGTTGGCTAAATCAATCAAGTTTTTGGGTGTAGCGGTGTGCTGTGTCACAATAACAAGTAGTTCACTTTCCTTGTGTGCTTATGCATGCAGGACAGGTACAGTAAAACAGTGATTGGAATGTTATCTAAGGGTTGGGGGATGCCAAATCGCACTGCAAGGGCGCTCGAGACAAAGGATTTTCTCAGTTTGACCTAATCCCAATACCTTACAACAATTACATTACATTACAAGCTCACTGAAATCCTGATGATTCACAAGGGGATGTGTGGATTCAAATAAGGATGTTAGAAAAGATGGAGTGATAGAGCATGCAACAACCTTTTTTTTTAAAAGCCACAGTTAAATAGTTAAATAAAACATTGTTTGTGAAGAAGGACAAACTTTAACTAAATAGTTCCTAAATATAGTGTTTGCATTAAAAATGTATTGAAAGTCTCTTTTCTAAATGTTTACATAATCTTAAATTAAGAAGTTGTTGTTTTAACCTGGTTTTTGATTGTTCTGAGTGGATTTACACAGTAAGGGTCGAACAACGATATGAGGTTTGATTATTATTCAAAATGATTACTTTTTTTTTTAGCTTTTAAATCAGAAGGTATCTGATTGTTTCAACAGAAATGTAAAGGGAATTCTGAAGTATTTTCATCCTGTTTATAAACAAACACCAAATCCAAATTTGTAAGTGAGGGAAGAGATACTTCATATTAACCTTGTCCGATGCTTTTCTGCATCTAAATAGACTATTAAGGTGTTGAAGTTATACATGTTAGAGTAGTTCAAATTATCAAATTAATTAGTCTGTGTGTTGTTGGCTACTATCAGCAAAACCTGTCTGATCTGGATGTATTATATGAGGGCAATATTTTCAAGCTTTCTGGTCAAGAGTTAGATTATTTCTAAATATTGGTCGGTCGCTAGATGGCAGTGTTTAGTCGTTATTAGGTTTAGAGTCGGCAGATGATGTATTTCTGTTTATGATTTTGTAAAAAAGTGAGTGGAATTATTGACCATGCAGCTTTGTAAATACAGCTTTGTCTTTTGTAGGGACACTTTGGTGGTGCTTTCAAATNGTGCTTTCAAATTTATTCTGGATATGGATTCTCATATTCTCGTGATAGGCAATCCCTTGCCATAGTTTGTTCTTCATTTAAGGGTGATCTGTAGTCCAAAATCATCTGCCACCACCTTACCTCTCCTCTTTTACATCAACCATCTCCATGTCCTCTTCTACAAAATCCACAGGGGTCTTCCTGTTCTCTTCTTGCCCGCAAACTCCATCACCTACATCCATTGTCCGATATATTCACTATCTCTCCTGAGCACTTGTCCAAACCAACTCAAGTTTAACTTTTACTTCAAACTGCTCAAGCTTAAATGTCTCTCTGATCTGCTAATTTCTAATCCTGTCCATCCGGGACAGGATTAGAAAAAAATCTCAGACAAAAATCTCAGGCCTTTTATTTCTGCCACCCCCACCTAAGCCTTTTGTCAATTAGACAGAGCCACTGCCTCTAAATCAAACATCATAGCAGATCTCACCACTGTCTTGTAAAACTTTTATTACAACATTGCTGCTATTCTTTTGTCAAAAATCTCCACCGGTACTTGTTTATATCTAATGCTCTCTCCCTTGGTACCCTTCCACTTCGTCTATCTTGGTCCAAAATTCCTTGTTAATTTCTCCTTAAGTCCCTACTCTTTGACTTCTACACTCCTGTCTGCCCTCTTCTCTTCCTCAGTAGTCTTTAACCAACCCCATGTTGCATTGTTGGCGTATTTAGGTTCCGAAATAACGGCACCAAAGATCATTTGTCCACACCAGAGACAATAAAATATTAGGAGACACCCCAGAGGCATACAGCCACCCCCATCCTACCCTGATCTTCTATCAGTGTACAACCCAGTAGTACACAGACATCAGTTGTGACACACTAAAAATCTGGTCTGAAGAGACCATGCATTCAATGCATTTTTTAATTACACCAAGCAATGAACAATATTTGTAACTTGAATAAATAATAATCAATTGCAGAAACATTTATTAATATGTTATGGAGTAGGTACATCTATACAGTCTACAGACAACCGACCCTTCGAGGGGAACCCCTCCTCCACCTCCAGCTCTTCCTCTCTATCCAGGGCTCCAATACCAGTCCCACCAAGGACCGGAGGCTCTGCCACTGGCCCCGTGGAGGTTGGTCTCTTTGGATGAGGATGTTTCTGATAGTGATTTTTTAGAACTGTCTCAGAAAAGAAGCTCTCCAAAATTGTTTTTACTTGAAGGAAAATAAGTGAAAAAAAGTAGTGGTTGGGAATAAATTTTAGGGTTCATTTATGGACTCACCGAGTGACCTCCCACAAGTCAGACTAGCCAGAGATGTCTTTACAAACTCTTTAACATCAAGCAGTTTCTACAGCAAATGATGGGGTTCAGAGTTCGAACAGAAGATTTTTTTCCTGAAATTGTTTATTGAGTCAGCTCTGATAAAAAAAAAAACTGGTCAACCTGACAGAGACATTCTGACAGATCAAGTAATCTTCCAGTTAAAGAAACTGATTCTGAAGGCAAAAAAGAAGTAAATTAATTGGGTTTAAATCAAATATTGTTTTCTCTCTTCTGTTACATTTTTGCTGTTTTCTTTTTTCTTCTCTCTCTCTCTCTCTCTCGATGTGTGATTTTAAAATTGGCACTTTGAACTTAAATGGCACTAGAGACAATGTGAAGAGAGCAGCTTTTTTTTAAATCGATGGAACTGAAAATAATTGACGTACTGTTAATTCAAGAAACTCACAGTGATGAGAGTGACTGGAAAAATCAGGTGTAGTGGTAACATCATCCTGAGCCTGATCTAGCTATAGTGGCAGAGTGGCGATTGTGTTTTCCGGGAGCATCTTGTGAAGCCCAGAAAATAATAAAAGAATGTAATGAATGTAAGAATGTAAATGATGAGTATTTGTCTTTTAGTACGTGATTTCAACTACACCGAAAATCCTGTTTTAGACAGAAACCACCTTGAACCTCATCCTGTGTTATCAAGCAGGTTCAAGCAAATGAGGCAAGAACATGAACTGTCAGATGTGTGGAGCAGTGATGTGTCGTTCGCGAGTGATTCGTTCAAAATGAACGAATCTTTCATATGAGTCGTGATTCCCGAGTCATATGAAAGATTCGTGACTCGTGACTACCGAGTCATATTAAATATTTATTCATATTGAACTCA